AATCCCTTCTCTTCTATTTCTTCTCCCTTTCACACTTTTGAGCATAAAAACTGCATGATTCTCAAGCTTTTGGGGTGGGGGTAGGACTTGAACTGCAGGATTGGTCACTGGGGTCCAGCTGCCTTGGAGTCAGCCCAGAAATCTGTATTTTAAGGAAGCTGCTGGGGAGAACTCAGAAGAAGTGTGGCTTAGGTTACCTTACACTGAAAAAGGTGGCAAAAGCTTAGCAAAAGTGACTCTGTCATTAGACTGGAAGCAGGACATTAAAAGGACAAACTTAGATACAGGCTAAGGAGACACTCAAGCCGTGTGTTGAAGGTGCCAGTTGATTTCTCCTTTCTGCTTATAGTAAAATGTGGGAGGAGAGAGATCAATCGAGCAAAGAACTGTTCAACAAAAAGGACCCAGGACTGGATAATTCTGCAACTTCGCAGCCAGCTATTAAGAAGTTAAAATGCAGAAATGGCTGCCTGAAAGTATCCCACAGACAAAAGCCTGGGTGTATGTATCTACACTGAAACATGATCACAGGTCAGATTCAATTCTCAGTCACAAAAACAGTCCTTTCCAAGACATTGAGGGTTTATATAACAGGCCTCTCCATCAATCCGGTCATACCCTAAAAATTTTAAGAGCATTGCCCTTTATCATCTCAGTAAGAGTCCAAGATAAGAAAAGATCACTTCCAAAATATTTGTGAGGGAACCAGGAGATGGCGTAATGGTTACATCGCTGGAATCGCATTTGGCCTACAGTGGTTCAAGTTCCAGACCCAGGCAGCTTAAAACTCAGGCCAGATGCAAGTGTGTGTATGCCCAAAATTCCAAAAGGAAAATGAATGGGAAGGAATTCCAACATGGCCATCCTCCTTGGGGAGTGATTTCTCATTGTCTGTTTCTCTCTCTCTCTCTCTGACTCTCTTGCAAGAGCACATGCCCTATAGCAAAATGCTCTTTAAAAAGTGTAGGTAATTAATTAATTAATTAATTGTGGGTATGACTTTTGTCTACCCGGGTACATTCATGAAATATATGCCCTATGGAAACACTTTCTTGAGGATTATTTTAAGTCATCATAATCTCAGAAAGTTAAATGTAATAAATTTAATAAAAGTTTAAGGACTACTTCAAGAAATCAAGGGACATACAGTTTAAGCAAAACAAGTTACCCATCAATTGCCAGAAAAGAGGAGATAAAATTGAGCTCTTGTTGCTTTTGGAGGTAAAAGCTAGAAATTGAATGTTAAAGATTGGCAGTCATTTTTACAGAAAACCAAACCAAGCAAACAAAGCAACAAAGGCTTGTGAAAAAGTGTTCCTTTCTGGGACCAGCACATGGTGTAATGACTATGATGCTGGACTCCCATGTAGTCAACCCCCACGCAGTGGTTCAAGTTCTGGACCTGGTGGCTTAAACTCATGCTGGGTGTATGCACACATGTGCCCAAGATCCTAAGAAGAGCATGGAGGAGAAGGGATTGCATTGTGCCCATCCTCCCGGGGGGGGAGGGGTGGCGGGGAGGCCTCACTTTCTGTCTCTCTTTCTCTGTCTCTCTCTCTCTGGCAAGCACATACATTCTATGGCAAAAATCTCTAAAAGAACAAAAAAAGAGAAGTGTTCTTTTCTAAAATATGATCGGGTAAGACATGAGAATCTATGAGAACAAGATTTTGCAAAGATTGCTTTTTTAAAAAATTATTTATATTTTGTATATCTTATATATTTACTTCTATTTTTCTCCCCTTTATTCCCTCCCTCTCACTTTCTGTTATTCCTCACCTTCCTCCCACATTATCTCTAAGAATAAGTAGCTGAGGGGTTAAGAAGGAAGGATGTAACCTCTCCACCTTTAGCCTGGAGAGAGAAGGTGTTGGCCAAGAGATAAGCACCTCAATGTGTTTTACACCAAGTCAAATTATAAGTTGGGACCAAGATACTGAGAAAATGTTTGGAGTTTAAGCTGAGATTCAGGAAAAAAAGGGAGGGGGAATGTAATAATTTAATAAATAAAAGTAAAATAGCATGTAGACAGTATTTCCTTTATGTTACTCTGAAACATCAATTCAAGAGGTTAGGTGGTGGCGTGACAGCTATAAACTGGAAGAAAGGTCCTAGATTCAAATCCCAGGACCTCCCTGAGCATCCCCAATCAATGTGCATGTCTGTGGTCCAGGCTGGCTGAGACTAGAGATGTGTCACATTGTGGGGACTTTTGGCGGGAGTACTTGCTTCTTTCTGTCTCTGTCTTTCTCTTTGGGAGAAATAAATAAATTTAGAAAAGTACACATTTTTAAAGAATAATTATTTATTTAAATTTATTATTATTATTATTTTAAAGTATGCTCACTGGAGAGAGAGAGAGAGAGAGAGAGAGAGAAAGAAATAAAACTGCTAGGTCCTGGACTAAAGCCATGGTTAACCATTTGAGAGTCCAGAGCCTTAACCACCATGTCACCTACTGGCCCCAAAAGTATGTATTTTATAATATCAATTTAAAATAATGCTAGTTTACTACTTGTCTAATTCAAGCTTTTTTAAAAAAAATAGTTAATGTGCTTTATTTCAAAGCACAAATATGTTTGAAAGGCCTGGAGAAAGGTAAGCATTCCTTTCTCAAGGTGATCAAGTACAGGGGTCCCTTTTTTTATTTGATTTTGAGAGCAAGAGACAAAGTTAGGAAGAATGTTTCCATTGGTATGGCCCAAGAGGGTGGGATATCTGAAAGCTGTACTTGTATATATAAGAGAAGAAAACAATGAAAAATTAAAATAATCTTTTCCCCTTAGGATAATAATACCTTTGACTTAGATATCATTTAAAACTGGGAGCATTGGGGCCAGCAGATGGCATTGTGGTTACATCACTGGACTCCCATGTGGCCAACTGCAATTCGAGCCCTGAACCTGGTGGCTTGAAAACCACACAAGGTGTATGTGTGTGCATGCCCAAGATCCTAGGAGGAAAATTAAAGAGAAGGGATTGTAGCATGGCCACCCCCCCCCCCAGGAATGATTTCTCACTTTCCTTTTCCTTCTCATTGTCTCTGTCTCTCTTTTCTCTCTCTGGTGAGTACCCGCACCCAAAAGCAAAAACTTCTAAAAAAAAAAAAAAAAGCCCAAACTTGGGGCCTCGTATGCTGTCAGCATTTGATAGGAACATGAATTTTGGTATAGTTCCTTCAAAAATTTAATAATCTTACTTTAGGATTAGAAAAGCCAGCGTATTGTTTGTCCGCACTTAGTATGTACCGAATGCCTGCGTCCCATGGCAGAAACTGAAATACTGGATGGTATAAAAGCATAAAGAGCAGCAGTGGATATCAGAGACAGTTCGGGAGGAGAGTGGAAAATGGGGAGGGAGAGGGGGAAGGAATCCAAGGGGGAAAAAACTGAAGTAAGATATATAAGAAACACAAAATGGAAAATTATCTGTTGAGGATAACATATATGGTAATATCTTTGAGCCAATACTATGGATGAGATAAATAAATAAACAAATCAATAATAGTACACAAAGTAGTCCAGTGACTACAAGTAGAAGGACTTGACCTTTCACATTTCCTTGACCAGAGACTGAGGCTTCTCTTTGAAGGATATTCAGTAACAAGAAACGGCTCATGCACTAGCCCTTCCCTCAGGGTTTGGATAGAAGCTACAAAGCTGGGCTCTTTGCATGGAACAAACTGCAAGTGGTTATGGGAAAGGACTCTGACACAGTAATACGTAAGACAGTATTTCTAGCTTAGATGAAGAAAGCGATATATTTGGCAATTGTTTCACTTTAAGTGTATAACTCATACTTTATATTTTGCATTATACTTTTTTTTTTTCTTTGCAGATGTTTTTGCTATAGGGCTCGTGCTCTTGCCAGAAAGACAGAGAGACAGAAAGTGAGAAATAACTCCCTAGGGGAGATGGCCATGCCGCAATCCCTTCTCCTCCATTCTCCTCTCAGGATCTTGGGCATGCATGCACACGTGCCTGGGACTCGAATCGTGTCGACTACATACATGGGAGTCCAGTGACATAGCCATTATGCCAGGTGCTGGTCCCGCATTATACCTTTTTTATAAAAAAATATTTCAAAATAAAACTTCATGAGTCCATTCATAAGAAAAAATATTATAAGGGTATATAAGATATTCTTACAGATGAAACTTTTCCTTTTATTCCTTGATGTACCTAGCACTTTTTCCCTTCAAAACTACTGATTTTCATAAATTCTAAAGAGAACTAAAAAACCTATTTTTTCTTTTCATTTTAATTACTCTTTTTTAAAACAACAGCAATGGTTTTCTGCTGGCTTCAGTATAATCTCTATAATTCTGATACTAGTGTTCAGATGCCTCATAGATGTGACATACAAATACTTTGACTTCTGCTAACATCATATTTTTTAATGATAATAATGACAATGAATAGTTTGCTCTGCTAACTTCGTCAGAGTTTAGTTTGACATGATTTATTAATAAAATTATTTGGAATCATGTTAACAACTTGTTTATCATTCATATAATGAAAACCTGAGAGTTCACTGTACTTCAATTCACCTTATTGAAATTGAAAGGTGAGAAATTTTAGATTTGCAGAGGCACATATAAAATTTTCTAAAGGATCTGATTCTGTAACATATGCTCATACATATGCATGCTGAGCATTATCTATCTATCAATCTATCTATCTATCTATCTATCTATCTATCTATCTATCTATCTAGAGAGATGGATACCAATATGTATTAAATATGTGTAAAAATGAGACTGAATTATTACGTTATTCAGATCTTTCTGGAAATAAAAGAAAAATTCATCTACATATATTCTTAGAGATATTTGCTTCCTACCACATTTTATAAAGTATTTATTTTCTTACCTACATTATTACCAATATCTGCCCTGTCTATAACCAATGCTTTATACTTAAATCCCATTGTTATTCAGAAAAACATACCATTTCCAAAGAGAAGGAGAGGAGGGCCATACCTCCCTGTCGGTGACTTACCTCGGCAGATTGGCCGGTGGTCACTCCAAGCAGCAAGTGTCTCTGTAACTCTCTGGCAGGTGATACTTTTGGACCCTTGGAGCACATAATTGTCCTCACAGGAGAACTGGACATTTGCACCAACCCTATGTGGTCACAAAACAAAAAACAACCCAAATTACTCATAGATGTCTTCTTAAAAAAATAGCATATTGACCGCTCTAGTCAAAACCACATGCAGCATTAAGCAATCCATTAACAGTTATTCACAGAAGCAACCCTGTTACTTATGAAAGGTTATGGAATTAAAAGACTTGGGTTCAGATTTCTGTTTTTCCACCATCATAGATAAATAAATACATAAACCTTAACTTGTCATCTCTGAAATAGAGGAAATAGCAAAGGTGATCTCATTGAGCATTGTATCTTAAAAGAGAAAAGGTCTTGCGAAGGGATGTTGTACCCTGAAAGCAAAATAAAGTTGGATGTCATCCCATGTGAGTGAGAATCTTACAAAACCAAGAATTGATAAAGTCCAGGTTAAGATACTGTCTCAGGAGAGAATCTATGTTACTATCACATACATTAATTATATTCAAAAGAAGGCCAGTGACATTATATTTCAGAAAAGTATCTTAGAGAGAATCATTTGTTTTAGAAAATAAGCAATCTATCCAGCCTAGAGTTAGATGAAAAATTGCCTTGGTTCCAAAGCTGCATTTGCAAACATGAAGGTTTAAGGTTGTAAACATTAACAAAACATTGTCACAGAATAACAATTGGACAGGTGCATAAGAAAGTGTGAGAGGCATACATCAAGTCTGAACATACCCAATTACTTCTTCTAAGCCTGACAACTGGCATTGAGTGTAGTAGTATTTTACCATCTGACAAGCCTATTGTTAGAAGAAGAAATTCTGCTTGTTTTTTTTTCTGTTTAACAAATCCCTGGGTTGATGTTGAGGAAATAGGAGTGAAAGAGGAAGTCTTTGAAGAAAAAGATGTATAGTTGTTCCTATGGTTGAATGGAGTTAATAATAGATTTAAAATATAGGGAAAATAAACAGATACTGTCCTTTCCTGCTTATGGGAAAAATAATCCTCATCTACAATCTCAGTGAATGTCATTCAAGAAATAGTACAAAAACATTTCT